TGAAAACATTGCTTACCTTTGGGCTCGGGAGGTGGCATTAAGCCCAACCTGACTTTCTCCTGCAGCTCCTTCTGGGCTTCCCGCCGGGTCTGTCGTCGCAACTTCTTCTGCTCTTTTTTAGTGAGATAAACGCCCAGAGTCACCGGTGTGTCACTATCCACTGAGGAGGGAAAACAAAAAAACAAACACAAAAACGCATCCTGCTGTCAGGTTATATTCTTTCAAGAAAAGCACCAAAACACTGCCTAGGATCCTTGTCAGGAAAAGGAAATAAAAACATGGTAGGAAACAGCTGCGAATAGTTCCTCATGCTCAATACCAAGGCAGCCCAAACTGCAATAAACATCCCTTCCCCTGCCCAGAACCTAAAAAAGCACCACTTAAGGCACATGTATTGGGTCCAGAGTTTATTTCAACTCTCTGCAATCCTTGTAGGCTGTTTACATCAAAAACTGAACCAGAAAACAGAGGTCCTAATGCTGTGTACGCTATAAATGACCCCAAATTGTCTACTCCTTTCTCTTTTATGGTTGTGTCCTTTGTCTTGGGTACAAGCTATCATGCTGACCACAGGAAGCAGACAAGGACACGATGTCTAAGTAGCAGCAGCCCTTCCTTCTAGCAAGTCTACCTGATCCAGATCTATGGCTTTTACAGGTCATCTCACCTTTCTCAGTCTCAGAGCTGCAAGTTTTACCTTAACATCTTTTTAAATTTTTTTTTTCTGGGAAGAAATAAAGTCAAAGGTTTTGCTAACAGGATCAGGACTCACTGGTTTGGTTTAAACCACAAACTGCCAGAGGTCAAGAACACTCAAGCTTTCTGAATGAGTCTTCCTATAACACCCTCTATTTACCATCATTGTTAGGAGAAAGCTTCAGGCTAGACTGCTGCGCAACTGTACCTGGTGGGTTTAGCTGGGCCGGGTGTTCCACGAGGTTTGTGATCCCAAAGTAATCCTCTCTTTTAGAGGTTCCAGCTGCTCTAAAGGGGGACAGAATTGGTGTGTCAGTAGTAAAGGCTTAAGGGTGACTTCCAGCCCTCCCCTTCAATGTGGCAAGTCACAGCATTCTGCAAAGCACCTTTCTTTTCCCATGCAATGCACTAAGTATGGAACACATCCAAGCCCCAGTCTTGAGACATAAGACCGAAAAGCTTAGGAATGCAGGGAGAATCAGGGCTCCTAAAAGGAGTACTAACAGACAAGAGTTCTCATCACCCAATGCCATAAATATCCATCTTTCATTTAGACATAAGAGGCCATGCTTTCAAGATCTCTTTAATGGCTTAAGAGAGCTGGGCTATTTGCTTCCAATGAGACTTGTGCTCCCTAGTTGCACCAAGGGGCTTTGGAAAAATCTTACTCCAGCTTTTAAACCCAATTGCTCTCCTGAAGCCTGCACTTTGCCAGGTACTGATATAAATAGGGACCTACTTGATTCATGGTTTCACTGATTTTGCGGAAACCGTGCAATCAACGATATCAACAAAAATAATGCAATATAATAAAGGAATTAGTCTATTGGTCTGTCTGCCTGTAACTCTTGGAGCACTCTGATTGGTTACTGAAGCAACCAATCAGAGTGCTCCGAGAGAGTGTTACAGACAGGAGGTGGTGACAGCACATGATGGCGGGGACCGAGGGGCTCAGCCCCAGCCCCGCTCCACTCCTTGGAAGCAGCGGTGGTGCGGGGTGCTGGCAGAGGGGGACAGTGGGGCAAGCTCCCCCTTCCCTGCCCCGGAGGCAGGGGGAGGTTAGGGTTAGGAAGCCTTCCCCCCAGTCATTCTTGATGGACAATTCGCTAGTTAATAAAAATAAAATGCTAGCTCCCCAGTGTGAGCCAGCTGACAAGATGGTGGCTTTCCCTTTGTCCCTCCTCCCCACACTGGGGCCACTCCAGCAACCAGTGCCAAGGGGTAGGGAAATACAAAGGGCAGCCAACAACCAAGATGGTGGGCACCCCTTCATCCCATCTCCCCCCCCTGGGGCCTCTCTGCCAATCAGCGCTGAGGCATGGGGGTGCTGTGAAATGTCCATGAAATCGGATCTGCTCACTGGGTATAAACTAGGCCAGGATTGGGCATGGTAGCTATGTGGGACCATACAACCGTTCTAAGTAGCTTGTGCATCTCTAAAGCTGCATAAAGACGTATGTCTTGATTTGAAGAGCTGGTAGCATCTGATGCTCCCCTTGATTACAAGGGAACCTTGGAGTTGCACAAGCGCTCTCAAAAAATCAAGCCAAACTACTGTAGTTTCTTCCCTACAATTAAATAATCAAAGCCCAGCAAAGAGAAGCTTACAGGTCAAGGCCGTTAGGTATGATATACGAGTCCCACCACTCAATCTCAGGAATCTCCCCTTCTTTCAGCTCTTTTTTGGGAGTGATAAGAGCCAGCTTGGTAGAGGTGTGGATCCCTGTCTTTCTGGCAGCCTGAGAGATCTCTGCCTGCAGCTTTTCCAGTTGAGCCTGAGAACAGAGATGGTACATGAGTGGGGGTGAAAAAGCAGCAAGCCATTAACTAGCAAAGCAAGCCAGATACATTTGTGTAACAACCTAATCTGAACAGGCCCAGGGGAATCACGGATGGGGATTTTAGGAATGTGTGTATGTGGATCTTGTTTTGTGGTAGGCTTTTGCATGCATTAAACCTGGCCCATCTTGACCCAGGTAGTGTCAACAAACAACCTACTCTAAGGCTGCTCCTCACAAGGGCAATTACCAGTGCTCTGTCTAGCCTGCTTTTAAAATGTCTCAAGTGATAAGGTCTTCATCTACCCCTCTGGGGAACCACTCTACAGCACTAATTCTCAACTAGCGTGCTGCAGAGTAGGGCTGTGCGAAGCTTCGGTCACCGATTCGATTCAGAAAAGATTCGGCCCGATTCAGGGACTGAATCCAAATCTAATCGGGAGACTAATTAAAAGCTCTGAATTGATTTGAAGCATCCAAATCAAGCTGGAAAAGTTTTGGCCATTTTGGAGATTTGGCCATAGACTAAACAGGTAGCAGTCCCTCACCACACTGGATGCGGCTGCCTCCAGCTGGTAAGTCTGTTGGGGTTGGGGGAGGGAAGGACTGGGACTGGGCTGGGACAAGCTGCCCAGCTGTAGCAGAAGGGCACAGGATGTGGGCACGGCAGTGCTGGGAGCGGGGGCTCTGCCTTGCTGCTGCTTGCCCAGCTGGGCAGGGGGAGTGAGATGCGGGCATGGCTCGCTCTGGGCAGAAGGGTTCAAGTGGCAGCAGGGCACAGCCCTTTCTCCCAGCGCTGCCGCACCCACATCCTGCGCCCCCCAGCCCAGGCTGGCAAGCAGCGGCAGGACAGAGCCCCTGCTCCCAGCACTGACACGGGCGCAGTAGTGCTGGGAGTGGGGGCTATGCCCTGCTGCCACCCAAAGCAAGCTGCACCTGCATTGTGGCCCCCCCACTGCACCAGCTGGGCTGGACTGGGGATGGGGCCAGGCAGGGTAGCTGTGGGGGCTTCTCCCGTGGCTCCCCATGCTGAGGCAGAGGCAGAGGCAGGCACAGCTGGAGGAGCTGCAGGAGAAGCCCCCATGGCTGTCCTGCCCGGCCCCAGCCTCCTGGCACATAAAAAAAAATAAAAAATGCCCCGCATTTACTGGCTGCAGCAGCAGGGACCAGGGCCTCTGAGGACTCGTGGCAGAGCCCCTGCATGCAGCGCAGATAGGGGGCAGTGGAGTTTGCCCCCCCCGCTTGGTACCCATGCAGCTGCTGTCACACTGCATGGGTGCAGTGCAGCTTGGCAGGGTGTCCCATGCTGCCTGGGAACTGGGGCGGTTCCAGCAGTCAGCTGGGGCCTGGCAGCACTCAGCCCCAGTGGCCCCAACTCCTAGACAATGCATGGCACCCTACCAAGCCGTACTGCACCCATGCCATAGGGCTGCTGCCGCGCAGGTGCCAGGCGGGGTTGGAACAATCTGTGCTGCCCCGCTCTGCACATGGGGGCTCTGCCATGAGCCCTCAGAAG